CTTCATACCAGCTAGCAATATAAAAAAATTTGGGCAACTAACAAGGTCATTTTCGAGCTTGGTGGTCAAGATATTTTAACTTTGTTATCATTGTCAATTTCAATGCACACTCAAATTTCATAGATTTTGTTTTGAATTTGAATGATTTTCCACCTTTTCCAGATAGATGATGGTTCTCCAAACAGTGAGCAACTACTTGAGGTTGAGGATGAGGGCAATGAGCTTGAGAATGAATGTGGACAATTGTTTGAAGTTGATGGAAGTGAACATGAAAATGGGAGGGATGAAACAACAGTAGTTGATAGTCATAGTGGAGAATCTCAAGGGAAAGACTGCCCCCCACCAATTGTGGGAATGGAGTTTGATACTTATGACGATGCCTACAACTATTACAATACTTATGCCAAGGACATTGGATTTGCCATTCGGGTTAAATCTTCATGGACCAAACGTAATAGCAAAGAGAAGCGTGGCGCTGTTCTGTGCTGCAACTGTGAGGGTTTCAAAACAACCAAAGAAGCAAATAGTCATAGGAAAGAAACTAGAACAGGCTGTCTTGCAATGATTAGATTGAGATTAGTGGAATCTAACAGGTGGAGAGTGGATGAGGTCAAGCTTGAACATAACCATTCATTTGATCCTGAAAGGGCACAAAACTCTAAATCACATAAGAGGATGGACAGTAGGGCCAAAAGAAAAGTTGAGCCAACTCTAGATGTTGAAGTAAGAACAATCAAGTTATATCGAACATCTGTTGTAGATTCATCAGGTTATGGTAGCTCAAATTCAACTGAGGGAGGCACTAGCAACAACATTAATTGTTCCAGACGTTTGAAACTTAAAAAAGGTGACCCAGAACTTATTTCAAATTACTTCTGTCGCATCCAGTCGATGAATCCTAACTTTTTCTATGTGATGGATCTGAATGATGATGGACAACTGAGGAATGTATTTTGGATTGATTCTAGATCTAGAGCTGCTTATAGTTATTTTGGTGATGTGATTGCATTTGACTCCACGTGTTTGTCAAACAATTATGAGATACCACTTGTTGCATTTGTTGGTGTTAATCACCATGGGAAATCTGTTTTACTAGGATGTGGTCTGCTTGCAGATGAAACATTTGAAACATATATTTGGTTATTTAGGGCATGGCTTACATGTATGACTGGTCGCCCTCCACAAACTGTTATCACAAACCAGTGTAAGGCCATGCAATGTGCAATTGCAGAGGTTTTCCCCAGAGCTCACCATAGAATTTGTCTATCCCAAGTCATGCAGAGCATTCTTGGGTGTTTTGTGCAGTTTCAGGAGTACGACACATTTCAGATAGAGCTGACTAAAGTGATATATAACTCTAAAACAGTAGATGAATTTGAGAGGGCTTGGGAAGATCTAACCGAGCATTTTGGAATAAGAAATCACGAAAAGCTCCAAACCTTACATGAGGAACGAGAGCATTGGGCTCCAGTGTACTCCAAGGACACATTTTTTGCTGGAATATCTGATTATGAGAAAGGTGAGTCTGTGGTTCCCTTTTTTAAAGGTCATGTTCATCAACAAACTTCTTTGAAAGAATTTTTTGAGATTTATGAATTAGTTCAGCAAAAAAAGCATAAAACTGAAGTTCTTGATGATTTTGAGTCACGCGATTTGAGCCATTTACTGAAGACAGGATGCTACTATGAGTTGCAGCTGTCTAAATTGTACACAAATGCAGTATTCAGGAAGTTCCAAAACGAGGTGGTGATGATGTCCTCTTGTTTCAGCATCACACAGACTCAAACAAATGGGACTGTAGTAACGTACATGGTAAAAGAACGTGAAGGGGAAGAACCTGCAAGAGATGTTAGGCATTTTGAAGTCATGTATGATAAAGCTGGAGCAGAAGTGCGTTGCATTTGTAGTTGCTTCAACTTCAAAGGGTACCTGTGCAGACATGCCTTGTATATCCTTAATTACAATGGTGTGGAGGAAATTCCATGTCAGTACATTTTGTCAAGATGGAGGAAGGATTTTAAGCGTTTGTATGTACCTCATCTCAGTGCCGATAATGTCGATATTAACAACCCAGTTCAATGTTTTGATCATTTGTACAAACGAGCCATGCAAGTTGTTGAAGAAGGGATGAGATCCCAAGATCATTATATGGTTTCTTGGCAAGTATTTAAAGAGTCTTTGAATAAGATTCGCCTTGTAGCAGACAAGATTGAATAAACAAGCCTATCAAAGAATAATGCTAATAAAATGTGCATAATTTATTATTCATTTCTTCCTTTGCCTGGCAATGACCCACCAACATGGTTCTTCTTCGGTTGCGTTCGTATTAAGTTTGCAAAATTCTTTTAAAGCATGTAGTAAGCATTTTTTTCTGTTTTCTAAGAAGATCGCTTGAAAACCTGTTTGTTTCAGAGGTATTCTTTTTTTCCTTTTCAGATTAACGTTCCCAAGAAAGATAGCAATGAACGTTCATAAAAAGCTAGACAAACAACTAACACAAGAATAAATAGGGATAACTGTAAAGATATATCGTATTTTAAAAAATTATAAATGAATTTCTACACGCACGCACGTGTGTGCATATTTTTGTAAAAGATCTAACTAGGTCACTGATGATGATATTAGAAATTTATAATGGTTCTCTTAAAATAGGTTGAATTTATGTATTAAAAAAAGGTTGGATTTATAGAAAATTAAAAGATATTAAAAAATATAGAATCATCTTTTTGGTCTTTGTAATTTGAATATTTTTAATTTACTTATTTCAATCTAATTATAAAAAAATTATAATAGATGTCTTAAATTCCAATATCGTTAATAAGATGTTCTTCATTATCTACGTATATGTTATTTCTTCCCTAGTACTTCAGTGACTTAAAATGTATATCATGTACAAAAATTAATCAAAGTTTAAACCTTGCCAAAATTATTAGTGCAATGTAGTATAATAATAAGTAAGGGGTTATTCTAATATTCTTGAAAAAAAAAATGTCAAACCAAATAAATCAACTATCAATACAAGATTAGAAGGGATTTATCTCAAGAAATTGAAAATAATAATAATTAAAGGAAAATAAAATAGAAAACAATTGAATAATTATTTTTTTAGGGGATTCCAATAATTATTTAGAGAGTGAAAATAATGAATAATATTTGGTTAAAGGATTTTAACCTATACCTCTAAACTTTTATATACAATATGTGAGAAATAAAAAACTTATTTAACTTAGAGTATTGTAAAAATAATAATAACTTAACTTTCTAAAACAGCAAACAGAAGAAAGAAAAAGAACTGAAAAGACAATGGATTCTCAATCGAACTAAATACTCACTTAGCATAAGAAATGAGATTTTGAACTCCTAATACTAAATTGAATGGGTTACACCTATTTTTTCTTATTTAATTATCGATAAAAATTCAAAAAACACTTGTTTAATTAGGCTAGATTTATTTTATGCTTAAATTGAATTGAAACCAAGACAAAACTAACAACAGACACATTTTATATTATTACATTTATTTTCAATTTTTATATTTATATAAATAAATAATTACTGTCATCTTAACGGCTTAACCTTATCTTTCTTGTCACATCATTCATGTGAAATAGTTTACGTATCTTTGTAACATGAAAATATTTTAAATTTATTTAGATAATTTTCTTTGTTACGTGAGTGTTGTAAATTATTTGGTATCCTTGTTTAATTTTCATGAATAAAAAAAAATAGTTAATCATTTATACACTGTCGTGTAAAGTTTTTTTTACACAGACAAATTAATTATATCTTTTAATTGTATCATGTCACTGTTAAAAATAAATGTGTTTATAGTGACATAACACAATTAAAAGATATAATTGGTTGTTAATATAAAAAATCTTTATACTACAGTGTATAGGTAATTAACTTAAAAAAATGATACTTTTTTTTTGCTAATAATACAATTTTTATTTGATTATCGTTGTTTAATTATTAATAATTGTTTTATCATTTAATATATACACGAATATAAATTTATAAATATATATATGGCAGAAATTTATAAATATATTTATTATTATGAGTTCAATTACAATTAAATTACGTACACTAATAAATCACAAATCGGTACCTTGATAATTCAACGTCTGGTTCAATATTGAAAACATTACTTAAGATTACCTCTACCATACCTCAAACACATTCTCATGCATTTATGCTTCATAATAAATTAAACAAACTTACTAGTTCTTATGACATGAAACAAACGTACTAGTTGTTACATTCTGAAAAGTAATTGTTTATTATCTAAAGAATATTAATTTCGAGTCATAAAAATAACTCAAAATTTTAATATATTAGTTATTGTAAAACTGACACTTATCTTCTAATTTTCTGAAATAAAAAATATAAATAAGAATAAAATATGCACACTGTCATTCAATCACTGGTTGATAAATTTATTATCTAATAATAATTATTTTAAAAATGATATTAAAAATATATTTAATAATAATATAACAAATATTTAAATATATTTTATTTTTGATAAAATAAACAAATTTTTATTTTAATTTCTGTATTTTTTTATTTTTAAAAATTTGAAAATATTATTTTTAATGTATATGAAATAAACAAATTTTAGTTTTGATTACCATAAAATATCTCTGAAATTTAAAATTATTATTTTAAATTTTTAATGACTGTTTTAATATATATATATATATAATATTTATTTTAAAAAATTATAAAAAATTATAATTATCTATATATCACATATTTACATATAATTATAAGTATTAGGATCATCACACAATTATTTAATGAAATTATAATTAATTTAAAAGGTTCACATAATAGTGATTAAAATAATAATATCAAATTTTAGAAGGATAAAAAATTCTTCAAAGAAAGAAGATCAATTTCCACTATTTTTTAAGGATTAAAAAATATTTAAATCTAAAAATAAATAAATAAACGAAACCAAAATAAAAATAAATAAATAAATAAATAAAGGGAACTCAAGTAGTTTGACAAAGGTTGAAAATTTTGTTTCAGTGAGACGCTTCCTTTGTTCCCCGACCATGTCTACTGTAAGTCTCTCTCTCTCTCTCTCTCTCTTCTCCTGTGGACTTCAATTTCACTCCTTTCTCGTGACCCACTTCTCATCTCTCACACTTCGCACCAACCCAGATCTGCTTTTTCTCTCTGTTATTCGGATCAGATTCATGTATGATACCTAATTTATGATTTCACATGCATGCATGTGTTCTCTTCATTACATTGCACTCATAATTGAATTTTATCATCTAATTCCTATAAATATTTATCTGTATGGACTTTTCGTCATTTGGATTCGGTTACAGAATTGAAGCTGGATATGAAACACAACACTCTGATCTGATCGAACACTAGGTTGCAATCGAATTGTGTTGATTTATTATGTGTTGTTTGACTTGGAGTAATTTGATTTAGGGATTCTGATTTTATAGTAGTTAGTTGAATGAAAATTGGAGTAATTTGAAGCTAGTTGATGATTTTGAAACTTTTGTCATGAGGTACCTTTAAGGAATGATCTGATCATGATGTGCCCTGTGTTTTTCTTAGGAGACATGCCCTTCTGTAAAGAACATCCTTCTTTTGGATTCTGATGGGAAACGTGTGGCGGTCAAATACTTCAACGAAGACTGGCCAACAAATAGTGCCAAGGAAAATTTTGAGAAAGTTGTATTCACCAAGACTCAGAAGACCAATGCCCGCACAGAAGGTGTGTAATTTTCTGTGGTATGGTCAATGACTATGGCATAATTCATGGTGAAGAGTTGTCTGTGTTTGATCAAATTCTGACTGTGATTGAGATCCATTGCTAATCACTGATTTGGATACGGCCTCATTTTGTAAACATGTCAAGTGTTGACTTCATTTTTATTGTCTTCATGGGTTTTTCATTTGACAGCGGAAATAGCAATGTTTGAGAATAACATTGTTGTATACAAGTTTGTCCAAGACCTTCACTTCTTTGTCACTGGTGGTGATAATGAAAATGAGCTTATCTTAGCCACAGTTCTGCAGGCATTTTTTGATTCTGTGGGGCTCTTGCTCAGGTTGTGATCTTATATTAACTAATTATCTGTGTCATATTCAATGGTATTATCAATCTATCACTATTAACATAGTAGTCCTTGATGATTTTGCTGCCTTTTCCCCTCCAGAGGCAATGTGGACAAGAAAGAAGCACTTGAGAACTTGGATCTCATTCTATTGTGCATTGACGAAATTGTTGATGGCGGGTATGCTATTCATATGAAATTTATCTTCTTCAGTTTTTTGTTTGGTAGCTTTTCTAAATCTTCTATTTTTTTCCCCACTTCATGTAAACTACAAATTTTAGGATCTATTTGATATTTCAGAGATCAATACTTTTCTGTAGTTCAATGATTGGAATTGTAATTTTATTGTCATAAAAACAAAAAAACCTTTTTTGCTAGGAAGAAACTAGCATATCACTCTCGAATTCTATAAACATTCAAATGCTCTAAGTTAAAAAGGGGTTTGCATCAGATTTTGACAGCTCTGGAGTAACCCCATTGCCCTTATCTCGTGTGATTGATAGGATGTAACAAATGTCACTTTCACAATTTTTATTCAGTATCTACAGCCAGAATAGAATTTGAATACTAATGATGTTTCTGCTGAGCTTTTTCACTATGACATCTATTCTTTCAGTTCTTTTCACTGTTAATCTAACCACATGCCCCTAATTGGTTTAGATCCATAATCTGGTCATTTGCCCCTGTCAAATGAAAATACGGCGAATTTAAATGAAGCATTAGGTTAAATACAAGTTTCTTTGGCAGTTTGAATAAATGTGCACCTAGCCATGCTTTTCAGAGATCATAGCTTAACTTGACTTAAACCTTGGATACTACAGTTAATTGTGTTTCTACTCCTCAATGTTGTTCCTGAAGGTTTCCTGTGGGATAAAGTGCATAGTACACCCATAGTTATAGTACCTTGCTGCTGCAGCTGCAGCTGCCTTTGTGATTTGAATAGTTATAGGTCCCATAGCACTGGAATTTCGGCAGAACCATACCATAAGGACCTTTTTGGATAAGTTTCTCCAGAAGCACTTACATGAAAGGAAAATGAAAATAAGTTTCTCCATAAGCTAAACTAACTTATACATATGTTAAAAATATGATTTTAGAGAAGTTAATAGGAGATAACTTCTATAAAATAGTTAATGCATAAGCTAATTTTAACTTATGTTGAAACTTATTTGATTTTCCTTCTTATTTTATTCTCTAGAAGTGCTTCTGAAAAAATTTACCCAAATCATGCTTAAATCACATTTGTCTAGAAAAGGCATACCCGCCTGTTTGACCTCCCCCTTTTGTATGCATTCTCCATCATTTTAACCTCATCACTTCTCATTTTTCTCTTGTCTCCTCTATCTTTGTCTTAGCTCTACCCCGGTCTCACTTAAATTTCATTTCTTCATATTTTGTGCAGTATCGTTCTTGAAACTGACCCAAATGTTATAGCTGGGAAAGTTGCAAGCAATAGTATAGATTCTGGAGCTCCTTTATCTGAACAGGTATATACTTCCTTCACTTTAATACCAGAAAAGAAAATTAGTGTTAAATTCACTTATTTGAAGACTAACTGATTTTTATTTCTGTTGCAGACACTAAGTCAAGCATTGGCCACAGCCAGGGAACATCTTGCAAGGTCACTCCTAAAATGATTCATATGGCATTTGTCAATGGAGGAAACATGTCTTTTGGCTTTTCCTATAAACGTTTATAAGAACCTCATTGCATTCTTGTACGGTTGAACCAGGATGATGTTACTTGCGCTGTGAAAGTTAATTTTGACATGCGAATACAGGCTATTTACAATACTTTTCTTGTGATAATTTGTTTATCTAATTAACCATTAAATTTCAGGATAGTGGCATATGTTCTAAAACTTGCATAAGAACAATTTTAGTACTTACTTTTTCCAATTTTTTATATTATCTCCCCCTTTAGTTTCAAAAGCGCAACTCTCCTTCGAATAAAAATTCAAAAGTCGTGAAATTGTTAATATATTTTCATTTGATAGTACAAAGGTCATTTGCCATTTCCGGGAAAAGAAAAATGTCACATCGGCCATTACAGTTCTGACTCCTAATACTATTTGAAAAATGCTGGACCTTCCGAATCAGAGACTCCGAAAGATCTTCTGAACATTAAAAATTTGAAAGGTTAAATATAAATAAATATTTTATTATACTTTTAATCTTTCGGAGAGAGTTTTGGCTATTTCATTCGAATGAAACAGCATTACTCGTACTGTTACTATTTTACGAGAAAGCCACGAAAGGATCATGAGTAACACAAAATGGATTTAAGTATTTAAACATTAAAGACAATTTGTTTTTTGCACCGAGGGTATCTATCAAATGATAGTAAATATCTTTTTTTAAAGCTTAGAGAATAGATATCACTAAAATAATTTTTTTAAGCGTCAAGAATCCAACATCTATCAATATGTTTAAGTTTAAAACAACTCCTGGTGAACAAGTATCTTACAGAATAGTGTTTGTGAGAGTAATTCTTCGACGGGAGTGTTTTAAGATATTATTTTAGTTTTCAATTTAATTTATTTTTTTATTTATCATATTTTTTATAAATTAAATTTTAATATTTTTTAAATAAATTATTAGTGACTAATAAATATATATATATATATATATA